AGGCTGGGCGAGGGGAGGTGTAGAAGTGCGCTCACTGCCTCTCCTTCTGCAGGTGTGCTTCATCGGCCGAAGCAACGTGGGGAAATCATCTTTAATCCGGGCCTTGTTCTCGCTGTCCCCAGAAGTGCAGGTCAGAGTGTCAAAAACTCCGGTGAGTGACCTCTTTACCTTCCTGCCCTCTTGGTAAGCAGCTGGTGCCAGCCTAGAGGATGGGGTTGAGAAGGGCAGGAGGAACCAAGCTCTTGGGTAACTTGAAGCAGCAGGAGAACATGCCAGCCGTGGTGGTTGCCAGCATGTGGCTGATGTGGGCCTTGCTGTAGCAAGGAGAAGGTGGAAGGAGCCTAGCATAGCCTGTCAGCCAGGGCTGGCAGATGTGCCAGACGGAAGTGTCACGCAAGCTGAGTACAGGACCCGTGAAGGCATTTTTAGTCTTTTTGAAGGACAGAGCCACAAAGGATTGCTGCAAGGGCAGGAGACCAGGCAGCTTAGAGCAACTAGAGTATTTTTGCAGCCTTCTTGGGGCGGGGAGTGGTGTGGTGTAGGGTATGGTACAGAGATGTTTTGTGGGACATCTCTTAGCCCACTGCTTAAAGCAACTTTTTAAAACCACCCCATTCCTTCAGCTTATCTACATCCTCTCTCCAGGGCCACACCAAGAAGATGAATTTCTTCAAAGTAGGGAAGTACTTTACTCTGGTGGATATGCCAGGATACGGCTACCGTGCCCCACAAGACTTTGTGGAGATGGTGGAGGCTTACCTGCAGGAACGGCACAAGTAAGGGGCCTACAGAGCAATGAAAGCCAGATACCCAATATGGTGTCATGTAATTAAGTGGGAAAATGCAGGAGGAGCAGCTACTGCCAGTGGAGTGTTGATTAGTTCTGACATCGTTTCCCTGGGAATCACTCATTCATGCTTAGATCAAAATAACAGAGAAGATTATGGTGCTGCTCCATGCTGGCCCTTGGCTCCTGTGAATGGCTTTTCTTGGCTCTTCCTGTCCCTAGATTTTGTGTTACTTGTTCTTGCTTATGAATTTGGAAGTAGCAGAACAGGCATGAAACAACAGTTGCTTGTGTTTCTGGCAGCTTGAAGAGGACTTTTATGTTAGTTGACGGTGTAGTAGGACTCCAGAAGACAGATCATGTTGCAGTAGAGATGCTGGAAGAGTTTGGGATTCCTTATGTGGTAGGTAATGCTTCGTTCTGATCTTGGTTATAAGCAATAGATCATCTATAAAGGTGTGTACCCTCTACCTGAGCTTATCCAAGTTGTCCTACCAAAGTAGTAACAACCCCTTTATTGTTAATAAATAAATGTGTTGAAAGGGTAAGTGGAATTTAAGGGATTTTTTGCTTGACACTTTTTTTTTCAGTGCCCAGCTTGAGGAGCTTGAAACAGTCTGCTCCTTATGCAAGCTAGAGAATTAATTTGGTGAACTGTATTGTATGATTTTCCCCCTAGATATGACTCAGAGCTTTCTGCCTACTGTGCAGGATGGTCCAGGGCTCTTACCAGGTTTCAGGGTAGCAGCAAAGTAATCTTCTTTTCCTCTTTTAATTCTCCCTTTCTGGATCCATGCAGATAGTGTTAACAAAAATTGACCGAGCTTCCAGAGGACTGTTGTTAAAGAATGTACTGGAGATCCAGGAGTATGTGAAGGAGAAAACTCAGGGATGCTTTCCTCAGCTATTCCTGGTCAGGTAAAGCTCTTTTCCATTGCAGCCATTTCCTGTCAGATGATGATTTCAGTAGGGCAGACTACCTGAAAAGGGTCTGTCTGCTTTAGAGGTGGCAGTTCTCTGTGCTGCAAGATGGAGGGGGGGCAGCTAATAGTGCAGCCCACCTTCATGTGCATGGAATTCAGTTTTCAAGTCTGCTTCGTCCTTTGGTCTTTCTCTGAGGGGGCAGCAGACCCTGTGCTGCATGCTGGTGGGCTTTGCCATTCTATTTGGAGTTGTGTTAATAGTAGCAAGCTATAGTTGTTTACCAAGGTTGTACTGTACTGCAGGAAATTAAGTTTCAGTGGCTGAGTTTGCTTATATTGCTCCAAGCTGTGTCAACATCTCTTCTTTGTTTCCACAGTTCCCTGGAGTTTTCAGGGGTTCACCTGCTAAGGTGTTTTGTAGCCCATGTTACTGGAAACCTGCCTATGGTAGATACCAGCTGAAAAGACTGGTTCCTCACCTGCTCAGCTCCTCCAGGACAAAAGGTACCAAAACCAAAGATCTGGATTGTTGTTGTAAATAACCCAAGGTAGTAGACTTTATTTTTTGATAAATAAATATTTATAAGGCTAAGGTTTTTCTTTAATAAATTCATCAGTTCAGGAAGTTTGCCGTATGAATTAATCCAGGTTATTACAAAACTGTGTTATAAAACCTCTGTGACTGTGCCAACAAGAAAAAGGGAAACAACAAGAAAAAGGTAAAGAGAACCTCCAAAGAGAAGCTAAGGTTTAATACAGCATTTCCTCTCCCTCCCCCGAATTGTTCAAAAAGCTACCCCTGCATGCCTAAGCTCTGCTATGTTTAAGATGTGAGATGATAGTCTAGTAGTCCCATTCATAAAAAGGCATTTAGTCTAAAGAAAAACAGTAGCCCTAACATTAAGCCAACTATACTTGCCAAGTTAAATTGAAGAGGTTTGCTTCTCTCAGTTTATGTAGCAGGGGCTAAAACACAGCTTCTGTGCAACCTGCCTGCTTTTAAGGTCATCTTGAGCAGAAACAGACACATTCTTTGTGAAGGTGTGTTTAGTTCTCATGTATCTTATTTTAGTAACTCTTCTGCATCGTGCTCTCAATAGGTGCATCATGATAGCATGCCTTGCTCGCATACATTGCATTGTCCCTGTTCATGGTGGATGAAGGAAAGGCCAGCTCTTTAATGGGGTCTACTTCTTGATTACTGTTGGCTTGAAACAGAGTGGAATAAAAGACTGACATGAAGGAGAACTCTTTCCTCCTGCACTTTATCATCAGTCACTGCTGCATCTACCTTCTGTTTTAAATCCTGCATGAAGTTCTGCAGCTGCCCTCACATGAATTGCCGGAGATGAGAAACTCTGTCCGTTACCTCCATCTGTTCTACCCTGGCACAGAAGCACAATACTGATGTCCCGTACGCTTTGAGACACTATAGCAGTTCACAGAACTATATCCCTCAGCAGCCTGAGTGTCTGCCTAAGAGCACCTGAAGCTGTACAGTTAGAAGGCACAGGATCGGACAAAAGGACTGGCAGCAGTTGTACAGGAACGCTTAGACCAAAACTAGGAAGTGCCTATGTCCAACTTCAGCATTCAGTCTTGTCATGTCTTAACATTGCCAAATGTGGGTGTGCAGATGTCAGAGTTACTTACATGAATGTTTAAAGCTCAAAAAAAGGCAGTTCTTTTGTAAATGATGCTGAGGGGAAGGTGGTACTTCTAGTGTTGTCTTACATTATGGAATTTCTTTACAAGACCAGACATGAAGTGACATCTGTTTTCAACATACATGTACGAAGGTGTGTGGTGGAGGTGAGGGATGCAGTAAAAAGATTCAGATCTCTAGCTTCCACATCTTAGCAGAGATCAAACCTTAATATTTTGCCTCTAATACAAAAACACTTCAGAGCCAATGAGATGTTTTATCCTAGGAGGAAATCTTTTCTTAGTATCTTAAAATTACCATAAATCTCGCCAAGGTCTGAGCCTTCACTGAAGAGCCTCTGAAGATAAACCTGTGTATGTGAAACAAGCGTAGTTCTGTTTTTAGTCCCTCTTCTAAACAAAACCCCTTATAGTGCTAGGAAATCTTTCGTTAGTCACTTAAATACATTAGATGTGTCTGGTAAATCCATTTATATTAAAAAATGCTTTGAAACGGCAGCAGACTGTGAACTGGACTCCAGGATCCTTGTGTGTGTGTACAGTTGCCTTGGGGTATCCCCTTAGCAGAAGCCATGCAGAGCTAGGTTGTATGTTTTACTACTGCTATACTAGAAACAGTAGGTACAGCCTTATCCTGAAGAACCAGCTTTACCTCTAGACACATCTCAGTTTTCTGCTGTGTTGGTCTAAAGATCTTCATTTGCAAGTGCTTCAAATGCTGGCATTGCCCTTGCATTTCACTCAGCCATCTGCAGGAGAGAACACCACAGTTGGTTACACTCAAGAATCTGTGCCCCTTTATTCTTCCCCACTCGCTGATCAGTGGTGGGCCTGGCAGCATACTGAAGCGGTGGAGATCATTTCAGTTTTAAGTGCTTTTGATGTCTTAAATTGTTTGCAGTGTATATGCCATGCTGCAGGCACCCAGCATTGCCTTGTAAAGCTTTGCCTCTTCTGCAGCTGTTATTTACAGAAATGATGTTGAGTACTAGCTTCTATGGAAAAGAATTTCACCTCATGCATCTTTTCTGCTCTTTAACCAGTCCTTTCTCCTTTTACTTCACCTAGTGTCTGGTCTAGTCTGTTACTATAACACTGACACTACAAAGCTGGTATTTTTGCAACAGTCTCTACAGCATAGAATGCATTTTAGTAGGGACCTTGACCTGGTACTATGTCAATAATTCTATTTATTAATGAAGTAACATAAACGGGTTTCTTGGGTTAGCAGTAGACATCTTAGATTTAGTGCCTCTGAGGCAACTACATGGAGAGGCAGTGTGCACTAAGGCAGCAAGAGCTGTTTTCTGTCACTTTGAAGGTTGTTTAGTGTTGCTTTCTTTCAGTCTTTATCTTGTCACCAGTCTTGCTCCTTAGGCTCAGCATTGTTTTCATACTGTGCCAGAACTAGGGTACTAGGTCTTTGGTGCAGCCTGAAACAAATCTTGGATGCTAAACAGAACATGCTAAGTGTTGAATGGAGGCAGTTCATTTTGCATCAAGTGGGATGGCTGCCTATGAGGAGCAAGCTACTGCTATGTCAGCTATCAAAGTTTATGGCAAGTGAGGAAACGATTTTAGCAGCAACTAGTGTTTCAAGCCTGTATCACTGGCTAATCCTACTTGTACTTGAAATTACTTTAGTACATGCTTATCTCAGCTATAACATGGTACTGTATTTTACAGGGAAATTGCAGCTTTTTGTGTGCAAGCAAAGACAAACCCAGGAAGGCATGCAGCAGTTAATAAATTGCAAGGTATGACTTACCTCTACAGCCCTCTAGATGAGAAGCTGCCTCCCTCTCTACAATATGCTATAACCAGTCCTGCAACTTCCTTTTCTTTTCATCCGATGCATTTATAGCCAGTTGGTATCTAAAAGCATCACCAATGAAAAGAAAAGTAGGCATTCCTTCCTCACCTGTACAAATCATATTAATACTGACTGTGGTAACTGCAACTTGATCTGCTCCTAAGAAATACCCACAGCACTAAGCCTGTAAGAACAACTCTGTTTTAACACTAATTTAACACTGCCCAAGCACTTCTTAAATACTAGATCTGTAACTATTTCATATATAATTAGTCTGCTTTTAAGCATCTCATATATAAGCATAGGAAACTGGTTTGCTCAGTAAGGTAATTATTGAGAGCCATCAAGTGTTTAGTTAAATATACAGCAGATTTTTTTCAGGGAAGGTAGCTCACATTTTTGTATTCTAATAACCTGCAGGGGCATTTGTGCACTTGTGACACATTTACAAACTTTATAGAATACAATAAATCCACCACTTGCACGGATGTAACTACTTAGACCAGTATTTTCTTTGAAAAACATTGGGAATGATAGAGAACATACCATGCCGAGCAGTAGCGGGCTTCGGGGGGCAGGGAATAAATCTTAGTGCTCTTCTTGCTAATGCTGTTCCCCAAGAAGTTCTCCTCCACTGGTTCTTGCGTGATGAACATAGCACTGTTGGACTGTTGCTCTCACACCTGATGCAAGCACAGAAGGTGGTGTGTAGGAATGGCACCAGCCCTGACCTCCATCACGGAAGGCTGTTGAGATTCAGACACTAAAAGGCACTGTACTCACTTCTTCTGATTTCATTCCTTGGGATTCTTCACTGCTTCATCAAGACTTTCTGACTCCAGTATGGTTTTGTTTCTCCAATGTCTGCACCTCAGCTGCACCTTTTCCTTCTTCCTCTTCAGCTTCCTAGAGCAAAAACGTTGCCCAGTGTGAGCAAGGCATTTATTGCACTAGGAGAGTGAGCCTCCTACTGGAAACATAATGGATTTTTCTTTATAAGCAAAAACAAAGAGAAAGTTTTTACTTAAACCAAAACCTCACAAAACCACAAGAAACTTGTGTTTCTCAAGCATCAGCAAAACTAGTTTAACTGCTCACAACAATTTATGAAGGATGTAAGCTATTGTACAGTTCAGAAGTATTAGTTAACAGGGCAAAATAAACACACTCAAATCAAGATCCTTTTAGATTCAGCAGGACTGCAGAACCACAGCTGCCTTTGTGCCTGAACATGATAAAAGATATTGCACTGATACTTAGAGACTTATTTTTGTCAGAAAAAAACAGGTGTGGGAAATGTGTTACTCAGCCCCAATTACAAAAGACATTTCAGAAATTCTAGAAACTGATGATGGAAAAAATAAAACATGGAGCAATACCTGCCTGGCATGATTACATGTTCCATGCTCACTTTATCAAGCAAGGAGGAGGAACTTATGCCAAATCATGCTAAAAACAACAGAAGAATAAAGCTCAGTCTTCTGTCTTGGCTAAGCCATACTGGTGCTACATGCAAGCAGTGAAACTGCTTGCAGTTTTCTCCCTATCTATATTTGCTTAGCCCATATTTAAAACCGTGGCATTTATAAGAACCATCAGAAAAGCAATAAAAGCCCTACAAGTTTACTTTCACCTCTTTTTGTTTTTTATTGGTCTAAGAGCTATAAAGTCTTCAGTATTTAAAATTCATGCAGATTACAAGGATGTTTACTTCTATGAAGACTGATAGTGCAGGCACCGGTATCTTACCTTACATTGTTAAGTTTCATCTTCATTTTCTCCTGAACAGACCTGGGCATCCACAAAAATGTGTTCTCTCCCAAGTCACAGGGGATTTGAAGGGGAAATTCCAGGAGTTCATTTGAGATCCTCTTTCTGTAAGACCCTGTCACAAAGTGGTGTACCATCTTTCAACTTCTTAGTACCAGCAAAAAACCCCAAACCAACAGGCCCACTGACTTCTGTGTGACACTCTAGCTGCTATTTCTCCAAAAATGGAAGACACAAATTGACATTTACTTTGAGCT